GCTCGGAGCAAACTTCGGCGCGTTGGAGGGTCGGTCCACCGGGCCGGATGGGGGGTTTTGTCTGGAGGGGGGGGCGCGCGGCTCTGAGGGGGAGGCTTCGGGCGGCCAGCCCTACGAGGGGGAGGGCCACGGCCCGACCCTCGAAGCCGCGCCCGGCCGGCCGCCGGCGCGCGACTCCCCGCCGAAGGGCGACTCGCCGCTCGTTCGCCCTTCCGGCGCGCGAGGCAAGTCGCGCCCCACTCCTCCCGCCTCTGCTGCTGCCCCTACTGCTGCCCCTACTGTTGCCCCTGTTGCTGTCCCGGCCACGGCCAAGCGAGCGGCAGAGAGGGCGGGGAGACGAGCAGAGGAGCGAGCGCGCCCGGCGGCAGAGGGGTCGGCAGCGGCCGCAGCAGAGGAGGGCGCACAGGACGGCGTCCTCCCGCAGGGCAAGGCGGGCAGCAAGCGAGCGGCGGCGAGCGCTGCAGTGCCGCCAGACAGGCCCGCAAAGAAGCGCGGCGCGGCGGCGAAGGGCGGCTCGGAGGGCGCCGCCGCGGCGTCGAGCGGAGCGACAGTGTCGGAGAAGCCGAGCGCGGCGCCGGCCGTGGCGGGCCGGGTTCGGCTGCGCGGCCTCTTTGTCGGCGGCAGCAGTGGCGGCAGCTTCGCGCTCTCCAGCTTGGTCGGCGGGGCGGAGGGAGGGACGGAGGGCGGGACGGAGGCAGACTCGGCCGAGCAAGCCTTCTCCTTCACGTTTGGCGACCCCACGGCCCCCGCCCCCGCCACCACCGCCGAAGCGCCGCCCGCCGCCGCCGCCGATCTCGCCGCCGCGGCACCGCCCGCGGCCGCCGCTTCCGAGGCGATTCCGTGGGCGGCGGCGGAGGAAGAGCCCTTCATGCGCACCGCGCCGGCGGAGGAGCTGCTGCGCAACTGGCGGCGCGGCCGCAGCGAGGCGCGGCAGGCGTACAAGAAGCAGCACCAGGATGCGGTGCGGCAGCGGCGCAAGCAACGAGCTTCCGCGAAGCGGTCGGGGGCGTGAGAGAGCAGGCGAGAGCGGTGTCGAGAGGTCGGCCATGCCCACGTGCACGAATACCTTTCACAGCCGCGGCGATGCACAGCTGTGACCTGTGGAAGAATCAAGGCTTGATCCTACATCCTTGGAGAGTGCGGCTCAGCTTCAGGTGAGTCCCCTCGGCTACCAACCCCGGACCCAAGACACACAAGCACAGACAGTCGAGAAGGGAGAGACAGCAACATGCGATGACGGCCTCTGGTCCCTTTCACAGCAAATTCCTCTGTCCGCTGATTCCCCTCTGGCCCGGCGAGGAACGGCGACGGCACCGACGGTCGGCCACAGCCGCCCGCTGCCACAGCTGTCCGATGGCGTCTGTGCTGGGGAGATTGGGGTCCGTGGCCCGCATGGGCGGCTCGCTGCTCGGCAAGGTCGTCTTCACGCGGTCGGCTGCCGCCTTTGGCGCCGGCGCGCTCACTGCGATGCCGATGATGTCGGGCGAGGACTTCTTCTACTACTCGTTCATAACAGACAAGGATCCGGACGCGATCATCGACTTCTACTCGACGGAGGACTTCCTGCAGATCCTCGGCATCTTCCCCTTCGCGCTCCACTTCGTCCTCGCGGGCGTGGTCTGGGACCTCGAGAAGGAGAACACAAACACCGTCTACCAGGCGCCTCGAAAGCCCTCTCTCGGGCTCCTCGCGCGAAGCCGGGCCGCCCGTGGTGGGGCAGCTCGCGTGCGCACACGTCTCTCAGCGCACCCGGCCGCGCGCCGCGCCTGCCCTACCCCATCCCCGCCTCCCTTCCTCCGCCTGAGCCGCAGCCGCACGCCTTGCGTGAGCGCCGCCGGCGGCCTCACTGTCCCGCCTCGCCTCCGCAGTCCATGGAGATCTCGTTCACGCTCGAGGAGGAGGAGGATGACGACGGGGTGGTCGGCTTCTTCCAGAAGCGCGAGCGCTTCAAGAACTTCATCCCGCTCACCTCCTTCCTGCTCTGGGATCAAGTGCAGTGCTACGGGTGTCGCGAGAGAACACACAGCACCGACTCTCGCACTGCACGCACTCCTGGGGCCTCACCCCTGGCCCATGAACGGCCGCCGCCCCGCCACCTCCTGCTCTGCCTGTTCGCACGGCGTACGCGGCGCCGCGGCGCCCCTCACACACCCTTATGGAGTGGTTAGCTTTCAGGCTTGCGCTTGAG